ATTGGCCGCAAACCAGTCTAAATGTTTTGTTGAAGCCAAGTAGCCTCAGGATCTAAAAAGGAAATCCAGGAATCGCCGCGTTTTGGCAGGACGGCTGGAAAACGGCCAAGTTGAGCTTTGTTCTCATTGTCCCCGAACAGAAAGGGAAAAAGGGCGTTGCTGAACAACCGAGGTGCACGAGATTGGGTGGGGCGTCAGTCATGAAAGACGCAGCCCTCGGCAATGCACACATTGTCCGTTGGATTGCCAACACTTCCAAGTTCTCAACATACCCTGAGCTTGAGAAAAACACATATGGCCCTGGCACATCTCAAATAACCAACCAACTCAAATTGGATTACCACGCAACATGAGAAACGAGTCAACAGAGACATAGACCATCCTAACCTCCTGATTTGGGGGGTCTCAAAATAGGGGACCCAGATTGGTGGTTTTCCAAAAGCCCAACAAAAGGACAATGACATATATCTGGGCTGTCCGTTTTCAGATGCCCTGCTAAAATTGATTAACCCGTGGGTTTATAGAAATCCCCGCTAAACCCTGAAAAAAGCCTGAGGGGACAGCTGGGAACTGCCATGAAGCACAAAGAAAACCAGACACTTGCAATGCTTCAAACCCTTTCAAACCAGAACATGGGACTTTCAACATAGGTGTCCTTTTGTTAAATGTATTGCGCTTAGAACCAACCTGCATCCAGTGTCATGGATTTTCAACCAAATTGGGCGATCAAAAAACCACCTATACATTTGACCGTGGTTGGTGTCCCTTTTGCGCCGTCCAATCAAGCTGGTTGTCCTTTGGGACCTGCAAACACTTGCAAATGGTAGGTGTGCCTTCAAAATCGTCTAAGCCAATGTAAATGTTGTTTAACCGGGCTGTCCGTTTTCAGATCCCCTGCTAAAAGTTGAACTGTCGGGCTAACCGGAAACCCATCCACTAAAATACTGAAGCAACTACACACCAGCAACTCCAGGAACGGGAGGAATCGCGGGTTCCGAACCGCCGAGTTCTGGGTGTCCCTTTAAATAACATACCATGTCCTTAAAGAACCCCTGCTAGCTCCTTGCATCTTTATATACCCTCGGCTCCTTGGCTCCGGTCCCAAATTAATCCCTGTGACCCCTTCTTCTCCCGGGTGTGCTGGGCGGCGGGCGTGCTGGAAGCTCACCTCTGAGCCACAAGCCCTCAGCTCCTTCTCCAAAGCCCTGCGCCGCGGCTCAGAAAAGTCTCGAACGGGGGGTTGCAGCAGAAACCCTCAGATCCAAGCCGAAGCCTTGTTGCGAGTCCCTTGTAGACTCCCGCCCTTTTCCCCCCCTTCCTCCAACAAAAATCAAGGTATGTTCCCCCCGCCCCGAAAACACAAATCACCACAACGCCCAGGTGCTTCCAACAGCCACCGAATCTTTCGAACCTTCCTGAAAGCTGCCCCAAACCACACCGAACTTCGGGGCCGGATTGGGCAGACACCACAAACGCTTTCAGCTGGGGACCAAAAAGCAACAATATTTTTGGCTTCTCTACTTAGCAAGCTAGTTGTGATTATGTCCATCAACCTCTGTTTTTCTGCAATTGAGAAACTTGGTGTTGACCCGCCCTGGTTCAACAGTGGAGATCTTCCTTGCGTGTTTGGAAGACTTAAATGGAAATGGGACCCGTTGCCTTCCTGACCCGCCCGATCCTGGCCACCAGCACCGGGGCATCTGTGCCGGAGCACATGGTGCCAATGCGAAGCACCTGGCAAGATCATGACGTTTCAACCCCCAAAAAAGGATTCAGTTTTCATTTTGGCTTCCCTTCAGAAGAAAAAAAGTGGGTGCGATCAAAAAAAAGTGGCACTTTTTTTGCTGAACTGATCCCAACCACTAAACCAACTAAAAACTTAATCATCAAAGGAACTGGACGGCTGGGAACCGCCAAGTTTGTTAAGGTTGGAGCCACGCAAAATGGCCAAACGGTGTTCCTTTTTCTTTAAACCAAGCCCAAAAGTCCAAAATTAAATAGCTCCATGTGCCTTCCTTTCTTGCTAGTCTCCTTTGAAGCTATCCTAACAAGAAGCCAATGGTCATGGCCCAAGGCGGTGATGGGGGGATCTATCTCTGGACAAGGCTAGTATTAGTCTAGTATACGCAACATAGCATGGAAACCGGCCACGGGGATTTCTACAGGAAATGGGCCAACCGACCGCCCAAAGAAGGGTTTCCTGCTTGATTCCCAGTTGAACATGAATATTAAATATAACCTGAAATGAGTTGAAATTCCCAGTTGCATAAATGTCAACATAAACATAATCCCAGGTTCCCAGTGGAATTAATCAAAATAAATATATTCTCAGTTGCATTTCCACTGGTTCCTGGGGAATGAGTTGAAATGAATCCTGACTGATCACTCGCTTCCCATGGCAGGGGCTTCCCAAAACCCCTGGCACTGAGAATCAGCGCGTCTTTGTAGCATTTGATTCATTTTGGTTTACTATGGCACTTTTGCCGAGGCTAAGACAAAATACCAAAGTAAGTCGACATGTGTGATTCTTGTCCGTGTTTTGTGCGTGTGAACCATACCAAGAACAATATTGTATGAAGAGACTTCTGATTGATCCTCCTTGTTGAACCAACAAGAAGAACCCACTAAAAGGGGATGAACCCCCCCAAAGAAAAAAAAGGGGCTCCTGCTACAAAGTAATAAAATATCCCATTGGAAATCATGAGATGTGATCGTGTTGTACGTAAGTGAGCTCGCTATGATAGGTGCAGTTAATGGGAATGTGGCGTGGAATCCGCTAAGAGTAGAATCCTCAAAACAGGGACTCCTTAGGATAACTTTCAGGGTGTCAAAAGGTACCTGTTTCAATGAAATTCCGGAAGCGGGCTGGAGGCTTCGTGTAGTCGAGTTTAGTCTTGCAAGCCCAATCAGAACTGTCCCTTGCTACCCTTCCACCCAAGTTATGATTGTTGCTCAGGCGTCAGTTGAATTGATCCTTGAAAGCGCCTGAACAAGTCACGCAAAACGGGTCCCTGTTGTTTGGAGATTGCCTGGTTTTTGAACAACACTTTTGGGTCTTCAAATGCGCCAGAACTGAATGCAACTGCCTGCTCAACACGTTCTCCCAAGACCATTACCCGAAGTGGCCAGGACAAAAAGATGGAGACGAGCGGTGCCGAAAACCGGGTACACAAAATGATCTACCCAAGAACCGGGTACATCAAGGCCTTTACTAAAGAACCAGGTCCGATTCAAACCGGGTTTCATTGGGTTTTTGACGCTGCTCTCATTGCTGTTTCTTTCCAGGCCGGTTGATTTTGAAGGGACGCCCATCCAAAGGGAATTTTCTGGAGGTCTTCCGAAGGCGCGGGTCGGTGCGCGCGCCTGCTTCTGGAGCAGCGACTTGGGCAAGCCCATGTCGTCCGCCAACTCCAAACCTCTCAACTTCCCCAGCCTCAGGTGCATCGCATGCTGACACCGCTTGGGTGGCAAGAACAACCCAGGTGAATCGACAAAGTCAGGTGAATGGAAGCATTGGGTTTTCATTGAAGTGTGTATGAATACATATCTATATCTATATATATATATATAGATTTGTTCAGGGTACCCTTGGCTGGTACCGTCTTAAAGGTAAGCCAAAAGTTGGTCCCCTAAGAAAAGACTCCCCTCTAGTTGAAGTGGGTTGAATAATTATCCAAGAGCTCCCTTACAACTAGCAAAAGGAGGCCCAAACAGTCAGACAAAAGGACTTCCCTCTGAACATATTGGCTTCCCCTTTCTAAGATCAGGTACCCTCCACAAAAGACGCACCTCCAATTGAAGAAGGAACTCCCCTCACTTCCTGGCCAAACAGAAAGTCCGAACTTCTTATGTGCCGCCGAAATGGTCCAAACCCAAAAAGTGGCTAAAGTCCGAAACGGAACTCGGGAAGTGAGTCCCATGGGACACCCCATATTCTAATCACGTCTCCCTTTCGGGGCATTCGGGGGCCCCGGCATGGACCGCACCATGGCGCCCAGCGCCCTGGGCGCTGAGGCGCGGCGCTCCTCCAAGTCCCGCAGCCTCCGAACTTGGGCGAAGGATTCCCCACGCTGTGGGGCAAGAGGTACCCAAAATGGAACCCGCTACAAGTTTTTTTTTTCCCGACTTCTGAGTGAGTGGGAGTTGGTAGGTTCAAATTATGGTTCGCCTGGTCCTAGAACCCTGCAATATTTTTAGCGTGGACCAAAACCTGCGGAGTACAAAGTTCCGGGTTGAGGTTTGACCCATACTTTGGATGGTCGATTCGCCAAGCCAAGCGAGTGGCTCGGCGCCACGTGGCGCTAAAACTTCTGAGTGAGTTGGGCTGGCAGGTTCAAAATTTTGGTTCGCCTGGTCATAACAAACAAAAGTCATGATAAGTCTCCGTTCAGTGGGGTATAACCAAGCAAAATACCAGAATCGCTTACCAAGTATCCGGCCCCCTTAAAGTAAGTCTTGGTAACCATGGTTTGAACCTATTTACCAGCCCAACTCACTCAGCTTGGCCGACCATCCAAGGTGTGGTGGTCAAAAATAGTTGGTGACCCCAAAATAGGTCGCCCGATTGGTAAATGGAAGCAATAACTCAAAACCTGCGGTCCGATTCCTGGTTGACTTTTGTTGGCGCATCTTTGGGGCGACTCGTCTTTTCTTGTTGGAATTGGCCTTGCCTTCGAAGTGGCTTGCTGGTTTCCCTACAAAGCGTGGGTCTGTCTGTCTTTCTCAAGCTCGGGCTGTTGGACCTGGGCGATTTTGCGGATTTGGAGGGATTAGCCCCAAAGCGGCTTACTTCGGTTTCCTTGCCCACAGGAGGAGGGGGGGACGAGGAGGGGTGAGGGGGGGGTGAGGTGAGAGGGGGGTGAGGGGGAGGTGGAGGGGGGGGCAAACCAACTCAAAGTGTTTGGTTGGGGATTTTGGACCTTTCCCGTGACTTCGGCCTTCCTGACTTTTCTTGCCACAAAGGGTATATGAACTTCTTTTAGGATTCGGGCCCAGATAGGCGACAAGCCCGGCTAGGCGATAAGGGGTGGCTTACGAATTGGATCTGTCTTTCTCCCCAAGGAATACCACCTGGGTGTTTTTCAGGATTTGGACGCCCCAAAGATGAGCAAGCTTCGGTTTGCCTTTTAGTGTCCCTGCCAACAAAAACACGGGGGGACCAATACCAACTCCAAAAAAAGACACTCTGATTCAATTGGTGGGAAAGCATGCCGAATCGGTGGTTTGGTGGTCCCGAGGGGTGGTTTCCCATTTCCCCGCGGCAACAGCTGCTTCAGGGAAACCTGAGCCAAGGAACGGCAAACACAGGTGTCATCACAGGTCCAAATGGGCCTTGTGGGTTAGGAACCGGTATGGGAGTATGCTGGTTTCAAAGGCAAGCCAGAGGAGTTCCACCTTTTCTTCGTTCCCGTGGATGGACGAAATCCATGTCGCACCACATAAGAACCCCTGGAATGATGATTCCCCTGTAAATACCAACCAACGTTATGATTTCAACCATGGTTTCATACACCCAGGTTTTGCTTGTGGCTGACCCTGTGTTCTATAACTATGGAGACTGTGGCCAAGGGTGCTAGTGAGAATTGCTTCACCCGATGTGGACCGCTTGCCCTTCCAGTCGGAGATGGTACCCCCAAGCTTTCTACCCTAGATGCCCTCTCCCTCCAAAACTTGGGGAACCAGGACAAACTGCCGACTTGATGTCTGGCTGGAAACGGGACAACCTTTCTTCCCCCATCATGTCCGAAACTCGACGGACAAATGGTGGAAGGCTATTTTTTTGGCAAACAAACACTTGAGCTCAAAAGGGTGCACGGTCGATCTTTCCCAAAAAGCTTAGGCACAAGCCGAAAAACAAAATGGCTCAAGGCAAGGCAAGACCTAGAGGGACCCTGTCCGGCCAAACCTTCGAAAAGCTCCGGACCACCGGGTCTTGCAGTTTCCCGGCTCCACACGAAAAATAAACATCTGGCAGGCCGAGTGATTCAACTGTTTAAGTTACCGGAGCAGGAACACACTCTCTATAAGCTGGTGTTTCTGTAGAATTTCTGTACCCCAAGCCTTTGAGTGATATATTCCATCCACCCTTCGGGGATCTTGAGACTCTGAGGGTGTTTGTATTACACCCTGGGATTACACCCTTGGGAAATGACCCAGAATGGTTCAAAATAACACGGTTTTATCCGGAAATGTGCCTAAATGGGTGTAATACAAAACCCTCAGAGAGACGTTTCTGGCCATCCCCTTCGGCCCCTTCGGAGGCTTCCGTCTGCCTGGCTTCGCAAAGCGCCTCCTTTTCCTCGGCTCATCGGTGAACGGTGAGGTCCCATCGGGCGGGGAACCAACCAAAAAGCTCATGTAATATCCCCAACATACCCCCAACCTTAAGGGAGAGGGGGGTGGGGGGTCCCCCAATTTCATTTTTTACATTTTTACTCTTCCCCACAAAACGGAAAATTGCACCATTCATGGAATTCCAGGGGTCACCCCCTCCCCCAATTCCATTTTGAAGGTTGTGGGGATTCCCCAACAGCATGTGGAACCCTGGTGGAACCCTGACAAAACCCTCGAACCTTGCCTCAGGGCCTCGGACGGGAGCCTATCTGGGAGACCCCAAAGCTTTCAGCTGTTGAGGAAATTGTGTTTTATTGATCTTGGGCACCAGGAGTAAAAGGGCATATCTGGGCTGTCCAAACTGAGCATCTGCTAAGAGTGTAAGAACTTGTGGGTCAAAATGGAAACCCAACCACTAAATACCAACTAAAAGCCTCAACAGGGGTATGGCTGGGAACCGCCAAATTATGGGTTTGTCTTAAAACAGGCGACCCCTCACCTTTCCTTTCCCGGAAGACCCGCCCCAGTGAACCAGGCGCGAAAAGGGTCCCTGCTGAAACAACTTTGTCATCCTCTGCATCCTCCTCTTCCTCCTCCTTCTCGCCCTGTTTGGGAGCCCCAACAAATGCAAACCATGGTGCAGCATGGATGCCAACAGTCTAGTGGTACCTTCCATGTTCATTCTTTCCAGGGATCCTTCTTTCTAGAAAACCTTCGGAATCCCAGGAAAAATAGATCCGTTAAGTGAAACGAACGATGGTTGAAAAGAATGGCAAAGAAATCAACCCCCAGAATGATGTGGATGTGTCTTTCTTTGAGGGTACCCCTTGTAAAAATGGGAAAAACAAAAAACACATTTTGGAGGGGTCCACGAAAAAAAAAAGGCCCTCGAAACTCGACTCGAAAATACACCCCTCCAAGAAAAAAATCGAAAATACACCAGAACAAGCCCTCCAAGGAAAAAAACACCTAGAACCCGTGGGTTTCGACTCGAAAAGCGACCCCCCCCGCCCTTCGATGGGCCAAAGCCTCTGAGGCCGCAGCCGCCTTGGAGGCTTTGGAGTCCACTTTGGAGCCAGCAACGCCTTTCTCACGCTCCTTGGCCTGCGAGGGAAAACACGGGGAGAGAATTACGTGTTTTGGAGCACAATAGAAATGAACATGTGTATTTAGAGTGTGTATATATATATATATTTATAGAGAGAGAGAGAGAGAAACATACGCAAACCATGTACAAATCTTAACATGCATTGACTGATGCATTTGCGATTTCGACCGTTGAGATGCGTTGCAGTGCGTATATAAACCGATGGTTGCAACAAACAACGTGATTGTATGTTTCATGTTACAGCGTTTACTGTACCCCATTTTGGCTGATGTCAGCCTTCTCCAAGAAGTTTAATGTCGAAGACGACACATCCGCGGTTAGTACCATGTTAAAGAGGTGGCTACAAAATCACGATTTGTTTTCGGCCCTGGATGAACGACATGCTTGGAGGACTATGACTATATGTGGGAGGTAACAGAGCGGCATGGGTCACTGATAGTAACATGCTTGGAGGAACACGTGTATAGGAGTTTGTGTACCAAATTGTGGGGACATTTACCTCGAAATCGGGTGAACAAGCAATTTGCACCCGGTCATACTCACATATACTCAGAAAAACTGGCTGGCAATTCATGACAAAGTATCTGATGAAGTCATAGCAACATGCCAACCTACTAGAACGATAGCACCAAACATACTATCCTGCACCTGCCTCCAGCCGTGACCTTCGCCCACTGACTACCCAAGTCGTCTGAGCAAAAGAATCACATACATGAACAAGTCCCCAAGTGTTGCATCCTGAAACCACAATTCACCGCGCAACCTGCGTGCAACGTGATTGATCAAGTGGAGCACCCTTGTGAATGGGATTGTCTCTGAGCCGGCATCCAGTGCCCTCCAAAATTGGAAACTGACAGGGGATTTGTGGGAAATCCCTCCGTCCCGCCAAAAGAATAGAACCCACCAGGGGATTGCTGTGAATTCCCGGTAAAAATGGACCAAGGTTCGGCGCCCACGGTCAACCACTTCCTTGGAGTTGCCAACAAAAAATATGCGAAACCTCCTAAGGTTTCGTGACTTCTTGATTGGATTAGTGGAACTCTCCATCTAAGATGGTCTTCCCACAAAGTTGCTTCAGTCCAGGAGCTTCGGAACTTAACAAAAATGCTCAAGTAGCTGATGGGAGAAAAAAGACCGTACCAAACAGGGACCTTGCTTGGGCAACCTTCCTCTGATCCAATTAAAGGGCACCCAAACGCTGGGTGTTTCAGCGAGGTTCGCTTTGACGCCTGGCAACCACGCCTTCCCGAACCCCACCTGCCTTCCCCTCAAGCCTGCGCGTGGCTTGCGCTGAGCGAAACTTTCGAATGATTCGAGCCAAGAAACAAAACCATATCCTAATTCTGTGTTGTTCAAAAACGGGAGGGGGATCCCTAATTCTAATCCACAGTCCGTAGTGGGACACCAAAACCACTTGGCATAAGGGTCGCGGCTTGACTTGAACAATGCAGTAAAAGGGCTCAAGCACACCAAGTGGTAATGCGTTGTATGATGCTTTATGCATCCAAAAGGGAGCGTCCCGCAATGTTGATCATGTCCATATCAAGGATCCTAAATCCGACTTGATGTTTTTCCTGGGGCCTTGTCCTGTGCTACGCCCTCCTGAGTTTGTCGTATGTAGACCAGCCTGCAAGCGGTCAAAGTATAGCTGCTTTCGCTCTTGGAACATTGAGTAAGTCCTTTGTGTCCGTCCCAACATGGCCAAAAACAAACGCTAAAATCGTAAATAAAACTGGATTCCCCAATGAACCATTTTCGGTCCATCCATTGGACCAAGTCCATCCCTGGCAGATTTCCACCAGGGGGGCATGGCAAATAAACAAATCGCAGTGGAAACTGGGTGACACAAGCTTGCCGCATGAGAACCAACCATAAAGGATAAGACCTTGCGTAAAGGCAATCAATCCTTAGAAAAGCGATTCTTTTGGTGGCTCCCTTGAAAGCTTTTGCCATCTCTTGCAGCACATGGCGACACGCTGATCCATAAATGGACCTATTCGGGGACCAAGCGGGACAACTCAGTTGCACTCAGTTGCCCCTTAGGGACTCAGAAACAACTGACCAAACTTACCCAAAGGACCCGGAACAGCACTCGTGGTTCACCTTTTTGGCCCATGACCCAAAATTCGACCAAAATGAGAAAACGATCAGGTCAAAAGGTGGGCCTTGGACTTTTTGAGTACAGCCAGCCGCGTCATGTTGCGGTCCATAGCGTTCGGGGCATGGCAAACATATTCCTGCTGAAAGATGTCCAGGGTGTTCAGCAAAAATGTACAACATTCAGCAACTTGTGACTTCCATCATAACCTGTTGGCCCCAAAATGGGGTTCAATGTCAAGTAGGTCCAGACAAGTGATGCCTTTCACACGCCACGGATCACGTTGCACACCGCACGCCCCGCGCCTTTCGCAGAAGCGGCAGCAGGGGCCAAAGCAGCATCCCAAGTGTGAAGCGATGCGACCTCGAAGAGCTTGCTGGAAGACGGGTCAAACCCCAATCCCCAATCCCCACTAAAATAGACTAAAATGGGTGGTGACCTACCCCCCCCAAACAAAAAACATAGTAATAACTTGGATTGTGTGTATTGGCAAGAAGCAACTAATCGTTACACAATGAATCCTCCAGTCAATTACCAAAGGTTTGTCAGTCAGGTACTAAGCAAAGTCACGGACGAATTGCAACCCATTTGTTCAAAGGGCAATGGAAACTCCAAGTACGTTCAAATCACGGCTTTATTCGTACTGCAGGGGGGCAGCACCAAATGGTCGATTTGTTTCTGATGAACAACTGATCCAAAAACGGCTATCTGCAATAAATCACACATCAACTATGTGAACCATTGGCATTTCAACGATTCAACATCAAACACGTGACTTGACTCTCCACCTGGTGGAAACTCCCGCCGTTTCGATGAAATATTGCCGTCACCGTTCTCTGTCGGTCTTAAGCCACACCTGAGGAATGATGTCAGAGATGGCGCCGTCTACATTTGACGGTCTCAAACAAGTTGGGGCCCTAGTTAGATGAGAGTGTCCCAAAATTGTGGACCCCTTGTTGCGTGGTTTTGAAGGGAAACCAACGAAAAACACCGAGCGTGGGGGTCCCACATTTTGAGACACGCCCAAATGGCTTTCAAAGGGAAAGCAACAAGAAACTGCTGCCCTGCATTGGAGGTCAATGCCTTTTCCAACCCACAATTTGCAAGTTATTTTTGGGAAACCTAATTCGGTTTGAATTTTGCAGTGAAACAAAAAGACACCGACGTATTTCCAACTCCTCAGTTTGAAACTCTGGCCCAAAAAGACTAGGGCTAGTACTTGCTAGGAAGGTGTTACCTTCAAGATATATCGTGGCCAAGCCTTGGGCACTATCCTGTCAAAGGCTCTGAGTCCTGCGCCGACTGCTTGGTCCAGCGCGAGCTTCTCCCCTGATCTCCAGACATGGGCAAAACGGGACAAATGAAAAGGTTCGAAGGTCAGCTCTGAGGAAACAACCCGGTGTGTGCCATGCAAAGGTGAGCCCGCTGTTGCGCGTTTATGGCTTGCTGATTGTGACCGACGAAAACGGAACAGCTTTCGAACGTTGCAATCGAACTACCGGGCTTCTTAATCCGAGGTCAAACATATTCTGGGCTGCCCTCAGATCCCCGGCTAAAAAAAAGAAGTTGTGGGTTAAAGGACACCCAACCACTAAACACTAAAAAGGCGCGAAAGCTAAGGAAGCGGATGCTTGGGAGCCACCAAGTATTGCACTTTCCTCACTAGCGCCGCCTCGCGGCCCGACTGGAAAATCACAACTGTGTTCTGGGGGGGAAGCGATGTAGAGCCGCCTTTGCAGAGACTTTTTCAGTGTTTCTTTGGCTTTGTCGGAGAACAACGAGGCACAAAGTGGGTCCTCTGATTTTTTGCGATGATTTAGCGACCCAAGTTCTCCCAAACATGTTTCGATCATGTTGGAAGGAAGGCGCAGAACCAAGCTCGAAAATGTCCCCAAGTCACTTGCTTCAGCTTTCGACCGAGTTTCGGGGGACCCGCACACGCATATATATATATATATGTATATATGTATATATATATATATGCAAACTGTGACCTGACTGATATGGGTGCTCATTAGCGGCAAGCATTGACAAGAAGGGATTTGGTGATGTGCCCACCGTCCAACCCAACTCCCACCGTTGTTGACTTTCTCAAAATCTCGCCCCAGAATGCGTCCAGTTCTATTTTGGCAAAAACCGCCCATCCATCAATTCAGCAATCCGAGCCACTAACTATGACCCCAAATGAAAAAGCCAATGCAAACACAGACAAACATATCCACACACCCGTACACAACCTGTGCCAAATCCAAAGGGAAAGCGGGAAAGCGTTTCAGATGGATTCCCATGACGTGGTACCAATGAGGAAACCCTCTTATGTTGGGCAGGAAATGAACCTAAAACTAGGCATTTGCATCGGTTCAACTACGTGCGTGTCACCTTTCCAGGGCTTTTTGGGCTCAACCAAGCCAAGCCGGGCTCCCTGCAGGGTCCCATCTTGTCTTTGCAAGGGAAAACAATTCCACATCGGGCCTGCACAGAGTCTACAGTGCACCCAGCGAGAGAAAAAGCTTGTCTGGTATTTCCTACAAATAAGGACGCAATGCAAAGCTGAAACCAGATCCACGCACCGGTACCTCAACGATTAACCTCAAGCCAAAAATATATTCGTGCAAATGTTAAATGCCGAAGCCTGAAAAAGGGAACGCCCCAAGGAAAGGACCTACGCAGCGGGCTCGGTTTAACCCCAGCTCGCCCAAAGGCTTGTGATTCTAGGCAATATATCTATAAAGTCCCAACTGCATATTTACCACAAAGCTGGTCTTCCCCAAACAGGCCGTCAAATCCAGCTCAGAAAGTGGGCTTCACACAAATCTCTTCCGACTTGCCCGCCTCGGGCATCCAGACTCTGAGCACCCTGACGCGTGCGACGAAGTTCCGAAGCCGCGCGGCGGAATGGAGCGACAGAGGCTCAAGGCACGGCGTGATCTGGGACCTCGCAAACGGAAACGGTTGGAGTCAGGTTCCGCTTGAAGAAACTCGGGCATGTTCCGCTTGAAATGGTTGGAGTCATATTCCGCAATCC